TAGGTCGTTGAACCTAGATTTAGTGCTATTTAGCACTCTTCAGCAAGGAGTATCAAAATTTTTCAGTGGACTCCGTACGAGATTCGAACAGGTATTATTCAGATTCATAGTCCGAGATGATACCACTGAACTGATAGTTCAATATAAATACAGACGTGTACGCATGATGAACAAATTTACCTGTGGGGGTCGTAACGCACACGTTTTCATAGGGAAGTTGATTTAAGCCTTCTTCAACTACTAAACGTATCTGAAAGTAGTAGGAAACAGTAAAAGTGGTGAACAAACATACTAGACAATCTGCATTGAATAAGAATTCGTTCCTTGGAGTATCTCTACAAAAGTATATCAAAATTATTAGTTAGGGAACATACTTATTCCTTATAACTGTTTGCAAGACACGTACGTGATCCGATTGTGGAAGTAATATTATGTGTTTTGAAAATTTGGATAGTACATCATCCACTTCAATGTTATATATTGATGACTGAAGTTCCTTTAACTTTAAATTTTCATTTCCATTTTCATCACTAACACACGAAGATGATTTAACCTTTAACCATGAATTGAAGGGTTAACAAAACAACTAACCTTAATATAATGATGAGGCATATGAAACAAATATAATTAAGTGGGCACCGAGAGCAATTACTGTCACTACAACTAGGATTTTAATGACAGTAAGGCTAAAAACGAGGAAAAATATTTTAAATATAAAAACAGATTAAGACAACTATTTATTTAATTAGGTACATAGAATGAGCGCTTTTTGTCTTAGTGATAACAATGAATAAAACATGTCCCCTGATAGATATGTCGTTTTTAAGAGAATGGCACTTCTTGATGTCTTCAGAACCTAAGACTTTTGAAGTACACACCAAACCTTCACGCGTTAAAAAGGGATTCTCACTGGGCCTAATAATTCTAACAAAATCGAATGAAGATGACCATCACAATAATTTTTATTCCCTCTAAATCTACATCCGTCTGGTTTTTTTATCGCGAAGTTTGTCCAAAATTTTCACGAACGGGTTTGTTTTTACAAAGTTCGTCTGGATTAGCACGAAACATCAAAAAGTTGGTAACTTGTTGTGCTTACTTGAGGTGGAATGTCTAGTTACACGAATCAGAGGAGCAAAAGTGGTGACATCAACTGTAATAAAATAGGCACAACTGGTAAAAGACAAGGACTGCTATCAAGCTATGAGAATTTGGAAAAATAATGTGCTAAAACAGCTATGCATTGAGAAGCATAATTTACATTTTTTGATACACTATGATGGTCCTAAAAGATCTAAAAATAATACATTACATATCTATGCATTCGAGTTTTTTTCCAGAAAGAATATTTACGTAAATTTTAAAGTCAACTTTATAGATCTATAAAGGCTCGAGCCTTATTAACTTGTGAAGTTAAACGACTCGATCAATGTAGTGGAAAAGTAATAAGTCTAGTGCATTTGTTTTTATAAAAACAAAGTTGTGTATTAATCTAGTAGAAGAAATTAACTAATCAAGTTCTCTGCCTAGGAAACGAAAATCTAGCAAACAAGCATCGCAACCTTCGGGAGTTTGGATTAAGCTCTTCAAATCCCAAAATCTGGTAGATTGATTTAGTAAATTATTTGACCTTTAGAGATCTGCATTTAGGTAGCAGGAAAACGTTATTGACTATAAAACGTGTAATTTTCTTTAATCCCCTTCTGAAAGTGGAGCGCTAGTTTAAAAAAAGGCAGTGATTTTTGTACTTATTGTGATTATCCTTGCTTTGTGTACTTGTTGCACCAAAAAGCATTCTTGGTCTACTTTAACTAAAAGTACTTTGGTCAAGGTTTGAAACTTCTGCTAAACTTGTTCCTTTGGTACTTTTTTACTGATTGACTGACACTCGTGTTCACATTATGATCATATTATGTTTTAAATCTTTTTAATCAAATTACAATGGTTAGTAAGACTCATAAATGTGGAAAACCAAACTGCTTGTTTCCCGTTGAGAAAGAAATGCAATGGAATGAGTGTAAAAAGTGGTACCATACTATGTGTACACGTCTAAGTCCTACGGCGTACAAAAGATGCTGAAGGCTATGGGCCTATTGGCTTCGGCCTGTTAGAAAAACGATGGCGGTTGCTCTGATAACACGAGCACTGACGCTGAAGAATGTGTCAGCGTAGTGCATACAAAAAGTAAGAATAAATTCCAAGTGCTCCATCTGGAGACCAGTTCTTAATGGAGTACCCCAAGGTTCCATCCTAGGTCCTTTACTTTTTATAATGTACGTTAATGATCTTCCAAGTATAGTACAGTCTCCAATGTTATTATAAGCTGACGATGTAAAAATTTGGCGAGTAATAACTGGAGACAAAGACGCATTTACTCTTCAGGCAGATTTAAATAATATGATTAACTGGTCTAAAGAGTGGCTGATGCCTATCAACGCGGAAAAGTGTGTCTACATGCACTTGGGGGATTCAAAGGTTAATAAGTACAACATAAGGGATGTGTCATTACCCGTAGTCCGGTTTCATAAGGATCTAAGGGTGACAGTGAGTAATGATCTTAAGACTACGGCCCAATGCCGGGAGGTCTCAGCCAAAGGGTTTTGAATCCTCTGGGCCTTAAACAGGACATTCAATAAGTTAGGTACTACCATGTTCAACGCAGTATACACATCCTTAGTGAGAACTAATCCGGAGAACTGCGTTCAGGCTGCAAGCCCCTGTTTAAAAGGTGACTCGGACATACTAGAAAAAGTACAGAGTGCAATTCCGGAACTCCGGGGTTTATCACATAAAGAGCGGCTTGAAAATCTGGACCTCTTTACTCTGTCCTACCGAAGACTAAGGGGAGATCTAATTTCGATATACAGAATACTGAAAAATGATTTCGGACCTAACTTATTCTCTCTCTTTCTTCCCACTAGATCGAGACACCTCAGAAGACATAGCAGGCGAGTAGAAAAGCCAGAACGAACAAAATACCCGCGGCATACAGGTTTTCACACCGAGTCATCAGTACTTGGAACCTGCTGCCTGAAGCAATGATGTCCGCACATTCAATTGACTCTTTCAAGAGAAGACTGGACACTCATAGACGCATACCAGAAAAGGAATAACATAGGCCGTAGGTCTTCTGCCCTTACTACACAAATTTGAAATCTGAATCTGAGATTATTTGATCATAGAGTTTTTGAGTGTATGATCACATTGATATTTGCCAGCCTATGTACATACGAGACTAAAAGGAAAGGTTAACTTGCTTTCGAAAGACCTTAAAGAGCGCTACGTCACCACCTGTACTAGAAGGTAATTGCACGGTTTGCAGTTTGACATTGTGAATGATAGCGAATATTCTCTAATTGTTTCCATTACACCAATTTCGTTGTTAGAAGTGGGTCGCATCAAGTATATATAAATTCCTGCTAACTTGGTAGTCGGCAATTCAAAGAAGCATTTCGTGCAACTTTTTTCTTGCTAGAAAAGCAAGAGGTGAACATTAGTCTCTCCGAACACAGTATAATTGTGTTATGAGTGAGATACACCAACAAATATCAGGATGTTTGATCATTGATTTCAAAATACCTCTAGCTTTCAGTGCTCCAAACTAGCTCTAGAAGAGTTGTACATGTTTATAGTCGTGAATAGGTCCTTAAAATAAAGTGTTTTAAGTCTTGTACATTGGTGCTGACTCCACCAATTTTGTTGGACTAATCCACTGATGGAGATGATCAGTCACTTATTCGCAGCATATAATGATTGGGTACGCCATGCTTAGACCATATACTTTTCGATTCATAAATCAGTTTCTAAATATATATTCAGACCTCCCCATTTCTAAATTCCAGACAGGCTCTGTATATCCATGGAATTTTATGTCTCTAAGTAACATAAACGACACTGAAGATGATAATACATAGTTCTTAGATATGTCATGAAGACAATTTCGAAAAGTTAAAACCCATCGGTACTCACTTTCGGGACCGAGGTTCATTTTTAACAATATTCCTATCTAGGTAATGTAGGGATACCAGTGACATCTGTCTAGCAGATAGGCTAAAACCATATATAGAAATTAACCTATGTGTTCTTATGGATGATGGGATTGCTTAGCTGACGTAATTTTACATCAGAATCACACCACTCAAGGATCCCTCAGTCTGACATATTTTAAATACGGTCAAGTTATACTGTTATCATAGAGAACTGAAATCGGCCTACTAGAATAATGTAGGTTAAAGTAAACAGATTAGAGAAATATATTTTGTTTCCTCTGTAGAATGTTTCAGGTCACGTTAATGCCTGTTAAATCCACGCTTGTCATCTGTGACCTGAACGATATGTGTAATAAGATTCAGTGTCTAATGATGTTCCCTATAGTTTAAATGTGTTCATTTCGTCGGATAACTTAGGAGTGGTTCAGTGACATCTCACTGACCCTATACAGATACGTATTGTTCTACTCAGAGACAGTATGCTGATCTGAAAGCTGTTCATAGTAATAGTTCGTACATGCATTCATCCATATTCTGAAATAAACGATATCTCATATACTTTTTACTGAAAATGATTATTGGTATCTTTAGGCAGGAGTGAAGTTATACGAATGAGAGCCTAGTGTCACCATCCGGGACTCTATTAAACATTAAGAATCGCCCCATAATGTCAAGGTGTAGGCAAAAGAAAGCAGCTATTTGTCTCCAGATCACGTAAGATATGTCGAATACAAAACGGTGTCTAGACTTTAACTTTAAATGACACAAAAAATTTGACGAATATCAAGATACTGGCAAATGTAAAAAATCTAATTAAATTTATCGAGTGATCATAAAAACATTTTTACAAGTGCAAATACTATTATAATAAAATTATCACAGTTTCAGATAATCCGGATCTATAAAGGAGTGCATTCCTTTCACTTTCCACTTTCGTTTTTACTCACTAAATTCACGTTTCATGAACTGTCGAGAACGGTCCGCATTTTTGTAATTTGGCCTTGAGGTTAGATGCAAAATATTTTCCAGCCACATCCGTTTTCTACAACAATTGGGACTCTGACAGGTAGATAATTAATTTTTCTATGTAGATGAGAAGTTATTTTAGAAAGAGCGACTGATAGTGGTCAGCCGTCAGAAGATTGGGCTCTGATTTTGGAAATATGCGACACAGTAAATGAAACGGATGATGGGTGAGCCTTTAGAGAAGACATAATTTTAATTTTATAGGCCTAAGGAGGCTATAAGAGCGATAAAGAAACGTCTAGTCACTTCTGCAGGCAAAGACAACGTTTCAATATGGTACACATTAACACTCCTGGAAACTTTAGTAAAGAATTGTGGAAAAAGATTTCACAGTCAGGTTGCTAACAAAGAGTTTCTGCATGCTTTTCTAAAGCTTTTATCACCTAAGAATGACCCTCCACAACAGCTACAAACGAAGGTTTTGTACATGCTTAAAGTAATTGCTTTCAAATTGTTGACGATCTTCCTAGTGTTGGATATCAAGTAACTGGGATGTCGCTGGTAAACGGGATCTGGAAAAAATATATGCTTCGCTTTTACAAAAAGGAGTGCAATTTCCAACGGTTGCACCAGTTGACTGTTATGTATCAAAACCGTCAAGAGGCGTAAGTTTGAGTGTTGTTTTTTGAATTCTATGTAACCCTTTTTACTTGAACCTAAATGACTTATCAACGTAACACAACCCGTAAAGTTGGTCTTCATAGGTACATTTATTGTGATGAGTTGGATTTCGTTCCTTTGGAATAGGTTATTCAAATTTGTGAGTATAGTGAAAACTACTGTAAAATAGTTCCTGTCTTATTGATCCGATGTCTGACTCCATTTGGATCGTGTATATCATTGCCATTGAAACATGCATGTTGCCAATCCTCGCACATAATTATCAACCTAACTCGCGTTAGTGGATAACGGAATTAAATAAGTCAAATTCAACAATGGATTTCGAGTACACATACTTCATACAACCATTGATCCAGATAAACGATCGGAGAAATGAAGTGAAATGATGCGCAGTGGAGAAGACGATTTAGCCGACTCAATTTAGTCAAGCGTTCAATGATATTTATAGTCAGACAAAATAAGTTACAGACATATGATGAATAGGGTAAGCAATACACGCACACACTATCATATAAAAGCAGTCAGGATTAATAGGCAAATAATTAACAAGCTCAAAATTGTGACTCAAGAAGGGCGAATAAATTGGCCTGTCTGGAAGCTAGAACAAGCTATGTAGGCTTGACATGGCACCAGACACTACACTGTCTTCCATCTTGAACCATATCTTTTGGTTTCTCATTTGACTAGTGTTACAGTCGTTAAGCATTTCCACAAAATCTTAATGAAACAACGTATGCTAGTCTAACGGTCAATCTCCTCTTCACGACTTCATTTTTGAACTTGTCATTTTCTTAGTTTTTTGTCCAGATCCAGTGTCGTGAATAATGCTTCATACATATGTTACTGAGACAGCATTTATGAGATGTGAGCCAGTTATGATAATTACATACGCTGCACTATTTAAACACTATGATGCATTTATTATAATTCAAGAAGAGTGCGGTTAGCGTCAAATGTTTATAAATCATCGCATCGAATTAGAATTTTCAGCAACAGTTATACTGAAGTTGGTTATTTTTGTTTCCGGAAACTTTTTATTTAAAACCTTTGGTATGACTAAACGTATGGTCTCCGCCCCATAAAATTTTGAAGATCCTTTTTAGAACAAGTTAATACCCATTATATTTGGAAGCGCTAACATATATTATTACGTAGAACAGAACCATTTCATATCGGTCTATTGCGAACCTTTTCCAACAGGAATATAGATGTGTAATAATCATTACATCACTGTTACTTTGTTTCGTCTAGTTATGATTTTACTTAAATAGAATTTATATAAGGATTAAGCCAAAAGTAAATGAATTTATTATATATCGTGGTTGTTTTGGTTTTACTAAAGCATATAGATTGAACAAGTTGTACAGGATTTTCAATCTCATTATAGATGTTTCTATAACAAACACTCAAGTATTGTAACTTCTAGCATCTATCTTACCGCTATAATATGGAGACATTTTAACCGATATAGTTTCAGGTCTCGCAGTGCGAAGTTGTACATAGAAAGAGAGTGGTGCTTATCGAACCTCTACACTTTCTTAATCAAAGTATACACATTCCAAAAGGTGTATTAAGTAATCTTACATTTAATAGTTGTATAAACAAATATTACTATGAAGCGATCATTTCTGTAGATAGAGGATTGGAAATATAATGATTTGATCTTTTTTTATTTTAAAAACTTTTAGCTACGTGATAATTTGGTCACATCTAAAACTGGAGTAACTATTCCGCGAACTTGTTCACAAGAAAATGATAAATTAACTGGAAGATCTTTAGTACTTAAAAGTTCTGGAACAGGTAAGGTCGTTTTATTTCGTCCAATGATGTGTTTACCAGTGACTGGATTGATTTAGGTTTTTATTTATAACTTGATTTCTACTTAAGAGGATTGTAAAACAAATAGCTTTGAGCAATAGGCTTTTACTTAGGATAAAGCTTATCGGTAATTTTATGAGATAATTTTTTATAAGATCTTTCTTGAGATTTTTAAGTCAAAGCTGTAAACTTAACATCTGACAAGTAAGCACTTCTCATTTTCAAAATTTTCGCATTACAGAGTAGGAATTATTCAGTATTATTGATAAGGTTTCTCACTCAAAACCCGATTGACCTCATGGATCAAAGGTTAAATCCTTGTATAACTACACTGAAAGCAAGTTAACTTGGTTGTTCATAATTTGTAGAAAAAATGCAGAGTTGGTTATTTTGTCAAAAGTAATTCATGAAGCATAAGTATATTCGTTTTTGTGTTAGTTTACAATATTTGATTACTGGTTAGTGATTAGCGTTATATTTTTTTGGATCGGTCAAACGCTATCGAACACATCCCAACTAGGCCATTACTAGACGTGGTTTGGAATCCCAGTCCAATATATCAGATGTTAAATAGTTGATATTACAATAGTTCTTTGTCTTACAAGTATAAATAATAAGCGATCCTGACATATCAATTAACGAAGACTAGATATAGCAGTTGGAGACTCAGTCATAACATATTAGCGACGAGGATTTGGAAAAGAAGAAAGTCATAACAATCGCTGACGGGGTCAATTAACAAGTTTCAGTTCCCAGTATAACTGTCTGGTTCCACTTGTAACTCAGCTGTCAGTTCAGCTTACCCAAATCCTATTTCTACAGTTATGCTTCTGCTTTTTTGTCAAGTAGCTGTTACAACAAACGACACGGTTATTGGTGTAAGAACATGTCAATTTCAGTAGCATCAGTAAAAGCAATGCTTCAGTTTAATGAAGATGTATTCATTAAATCTCATTTAATGCTCATTGGTGCATTGAATGAACACATGCTTAAACAATTGAATCCGAAATCGCACTCAGAAACCATAGATACATTTAACGAGGTAACTGGCACATTTCCTGTTGCAATAGGGAACAGTTTAGTTATTGAGGAAGAAGTGAAAACATTCTTTGATCATGTTGACTCTCGGCAGTGTTTAAATGTTTTTTTAATCAAATTCCTCTTATTCTAATTATCCAGTCATATCGAGTGAAATTCATAATCATTTTGAGACAAATGTTTCAAATGAATCAATTTTTGGTCAAATTTCTAATGATATCATATCAGATGTTGATTACCTTAATGTTTCATTGGTTTTAATGTAGTTCTTAATGAATTTGAGAAAAATATTCTAAATGAATCAAATTCTGGTGATATCATAACAAATGTTTCTTGTTCTCACAATACATTCGTTACTCACGAAAACCTTAGTCAGTATAAATCACAGGTTTTCAATGGGTCTAAATCTAATTGTAGCTCTGATGGTCCCACATCAAATGTTATTTATCCTCACAATCCATTCACTCCTAGTCCGCATGAGAATCACGTTTTAAATGAGTCACATCCTGGTCACATTTTAGATGTCGTTGTAACGGATGTTGGGTACCCTCACACTATATATGTCTCATAGAATCCCTATTCAATGCTATGATGAGTCGTTTGATATAACAAGTGCTTACAAAGCAGTTCTGAAACCAGAATGCCTAGGAGCGATGTCGTTCCTAAGTCTGATAGTTCGAAATTCGGGTTAAGACTCGATGCCTGCTATGGTAGGAATGAAAATTTATTTAGGATAAAAGTGTTTGAACGAGACACTGGCTTAAAAGTTCATGCTTACCTCAGGAAGCTTATTTATTTATTTTATTTATTTGAACACAAATATTGATACAAGGAGGCACCAAATAGATATGCGCCACACAACTCACTTGATTTGTGTATGGGCTGGGACACTGCCCTGGTGCACAAACTGAACCACATGGTTTTCTTATGGGGTCACACTCCGACCTAAAGGTCTAATCCACAAGGTAGTGGAGTAACGTAAGGAGATGCAGTTCAAATGCTTTGAAGGCAAAGTGAGCCAATATAAATCATCTGCCTTGTTACTGAAAGGTCGAAATGCAAAAATGAGCTTATTAGTATTGTGAATCGAATAATTGCTTCAAATGTTTCGTTATGAATAGTGTAAAAATCACCATGTATAATATTACCCATACAGGTCAAGATTATGCCCACGTACCTCAATACACACATATAATGAAGGTGTGAGTAGTGTTGAGACAGTTCAGCTAAATAAAGTCACATGAAGATGCAACATTATTTCATGAGGGAGGGAGAATTGTATATACATTGAACGAAGGAGCAGGGCATATAAGTCAAAAGGTTAAATAGACTTTTTTCCAAATCTCCCTCTCCGATTGTTATGTCTGGTCGTCGCTGTTTGTTATGTCGGAATCACTTATTACTTATACTTGCAAAACGAGGAAATATCGCAGATATACAACCCTGGTTTTAGTGGTCCGCTGATCTGACTCCAGTTGATCTGATGGTGCTATTAACGAAATGTACACCCCGACTACCCTCGTTCATAATTATCGACGTAATTTTCGTCAGAGAATAATGAAATGAAATAAGTCAAATGCGGGAATGAATTTCAAATACGCATATTTCATACACCCGTTTATCCAGACAGGCATTAAGAATAAGAAGTGGGAAGGCATATGTGCCAACTCGATTAGATCAGGTGTTACTCACTATTTATAGCCAGAAAAAATAAGTCAAAGACATGTGATGTATAGGGTAAGCGATGCATACACATGTGCTCATATAAAAATAGCCAAGGTTATAAATGAACAATTGACTACATCAAAATCCAACTCAAGAAGAATATATTTATTGACCTTTCGAAAAGCTAGAATGACCCGTGTGGTCTTGACATTGTACTAATCACTACATAGTTAGTCCAAGTTTCTTGTCATGTGTGGTCCTTCAGCAAGGATTATTTACGACAGTAATATTATTTCCCTGTAACATCCAGCTAATTGACGGGAATGTGTAATGAATCAATATGTTAATAATGAAGAAGTTATGTTAAATAAGACAAAATGACAATGAATGACGATTTTTTCTTCTTCCTCTTCCTCTCTGTCTCTTATATTACACTAAGCTGTAAACATATCGAAAGATTGCAATTAATATGTGACTTTGTTTTTAATTATATTCATCCTTAAATTAAAATGTGAAATAAAGAAACTTTTTAAATGATTGAATAACATCTTAAAGTGTTGATATTCAATGGTTAGCTTTTTTTAGCGAGTTAGTTTTCCACGGGATGGGGTCGCTAACCCCATGTCCAACCTTCCTTCTTTATCCGGGCTTGGGACCTGCAGTAGCTCAAGAGGGGCTCCAGGCGGAGTTGATATTCAATGGCATCGTATTAATTCGTTTTTTATTGCATTGTATTTACTCTTGTTCAAGTGTACTATTTGAACTATTTATTTTTTCAAACATATTTAGAATCGGATATCCATTTACGTAATCATTTATCTGTAAATCCATCAAGTTCAAGTGTATTACATCCATGCTCTGTTTGCCATTGTATACATGAATCAAATATTCAATCATTAGCTTGTCATAATCTTGGTTCAAGACCTAATGTTCATCCTACTGGTAATTCTGTATCCTCATACAGTCGTTCAACACGTAATGTACATTTTAATGGTACAGTTCAAAATAGATCACAGATTAGTACTATACCAAATGATTGTACTATAATGGTTGTTAACTCAGGTAAGTTGCTAAGGCTCTTTATGATATAATTTTGATTAGCAACGTTTATTCTTGTATTTTACAAGTTAAACTTGTAACTTCCAAACTGATGTTTGATTTCTGTATGCCTTTTGATGAGACGTTAGACACTTGTACATACCCACAGGTAAATTGATGGCAGTGTTTGGGTTGTGTACAGTTCTAAAAATGAACACTTTGGATATGAGTTACATAAAAACACCCAAACGTATAAGACAACTAAGCTATACCGTCTTCAGAAATACTCAAGATGAATTGCGATACTATAAGTCATGGATACGCTTTTAGGGATCCTAAAGTGTTCTTAAAAAACTCTAACCACTGAGGATTGGGAATTGAAGTTAAAAGTTAAGGTTTAGATTTAGAATTAAGGTTTTCATCATAAACTAACATCAGCTACAATGCATAAGTGGTATTTAACTGTATGGATGATGGAACTGCGCTCTAAAATCTGAAAGGTGATATCTTGAACACATTTAGTTTGTCTGTAATTTTTAGTCCCACCAAAAGTCTATGGACTATCAAATCTAAAATACTTCGAGGAAAGAACTTACCAAAGAACTTATAATTAGTTACTTATTAAAAAAAGAAATATATCCCCGACAAACTAGAAACGTTATTTTGTTAGGTGTCGACTAAACAATTTGATCGCTCATAATCACTGACAAGTGAACTGAGATATGTTGGTAGGTGTAGACTACTTGGTTGGGATCCGTGAGACAATGGCAACCGATGGTTAGAGACCTTAAATGACATGGCTCAAAATCGTTTGCAATGGCGCAGGTGCATCCACTCTCTGTGCTCTCCCAAATTCTAATCTCCTCGATTCTTCATGTTCCTTTCTTTTGTCTCTTTTCAAATTTATTTCACTGGATTATACTCCTTGAATAACATCTTCAAACCTTAATCTTACCGATTACTGCTTATACTCTTACTACCTCTACCACTATGGGATTTGAATAGATAATTGCATCTGTGTGCTAATGTGGTATGGCAACTCGAACTGATGTACGTATGTACGAAGTTCTACGTGGTTACTGACTGACTGACATTTTGTACGAACTATGTGCTATGAAAATGTCAATTAATTAAACCTCAAATGAATATACGAGTTAGTTGTCAAATGAAAAAGATACATCTAACAATGTAGGAATGTTATTTTATTCAGCTAATTCAAAAAGCAATATGGTAACCATCAAATATAGAAGGCAATCAAAACAGATTAAACATAGTCATTAAAAAAAACCATGCAAATAAGTTGATACACTAGAAAATTAAGAGTAAAATGAATAGAAACAATTTCTTGTTGGATCAAAATATAAGTGGATTTCATGAATGAGGATGCTAATCATTATGACTTTGGATTTAAGGATTAAGATATAAGTTTATTGTTACATAAAATGTGTGCATAGAGGTGAGGAGGGGGAGAGAAGACGGTTGAATTTTAACATATATACATGCGAACCTATTTACAAAACATCTTTACACTACTATCGAATTATTAGTTGTATATTGTAAATAAATGGGTCAGTTATACACTACAAACCATCATGATACTAATGGGTAATAAAAAGGATGTGGCAGTTAAACCATAATCCGATATCGGTTCATGAAATTATCAACAATTAGACTAAACTCTTGTAATAGGTTCAGACTATTTGGTTTGTGTTTCGCATAATTATCGTATTAAATAGTTAGAAACATTGAATGACATTGTAATGATTCAGGTTTATTCACTTTTTATCATCCTTCTAGATGTTTCAGTATTTCCTCATATAGGTCTTTATTTTGAATAATACCGTTTGTTTAGTCAATCTCACTTCATTTTGTTAATATTGTATGACAACTATGACTATCATAAGTTCATACCTTGATATACGCTGATTATGATTAACTTCTTGACAGACTATTGTTATTATTATTATTTGGAAGTTTAACTTCCTAATCTAATAAAAGGCGTTTCTAGGGAATCGGTTCAAAGAGGCAAACATATTGTTATGACGAGTGTGACTGCAGGTTTTGATAAGTAGCGTTTATTGATCGATTCGGTGACACGTTAACACGAACGAACGGCCTACAGTTCTGATTGGTCCTGCTTCCCTGTCTAGCCCAGTTAGTTGAGTCCAGAAGACAAGCCACAGCCTCGGAGATATGAATCATTATATTTCAAACATACTTTGTTTATATACCAATCAAGCACACCACATCGTACCATAAAATAGAAAACAACATTTTGTACAATATTTAACAAGTGAACAGATATCGACCAATAGGCAATGTCCATTTAAAGTCCAAGGACACCATTGGACTTAACATGATAATTATTGGTCTATTCCTCCGCATCCACAACACCTCCCCTTTTTTTTGAAGATCCGGTGTTGATATCCGGATTTTGAGATTTTCTGGGTTCATCCTCCCCCACGAAATAATGTTGGGTCCTCATATTCCCAAGTTAGAATTAATTTGACTTTATTTAACACATTATTGTCAGATTGAACAGAGAAGTCACTGAAAGTAATTAAATAGTGGGGAACAATGTCGCTTGATATGAGGTCATCAACGTTTGATTCTTCTGGAACATTATCATGGGATTTGTTGAAAATCTCATTTGTAAACAGTTGATCACTGAGATAATCAACATCTATCAAAATTGTATTAGATTTCTGATCATCATTTGATGCATCTAACACATTTTCTGCTACAAAAGGATCTAGATAATAAGATTCGTCAGAATCTCCTGTTGTTGAACGATGAGGACCATTTGAAACAGCTGGATTCAGTGTACTGCACGATTTGTTCCCTGTTCCGTTGTGGGCGGGTACTGCAATTAATTTATGAGCATTTAATGAGAGATCTTCCTGTGAGCTGGATACATCACTGTCTGTACCCGTTTCAGGAACAGTGGGATTTGAACCCACGACAGGGAATGTTTCGGAATTTGACACTTCTGGACAACTGGGCGGATCATGAATGACTTTCTCGTTTACATCATTGGTCGTCCGGGATTCACAGAGGCTTTTATAGGCAGCTTCATATGTCCTGCAGTTGTTTTCCAGATCAGTCTGCAGATGAGAAATGAACTTATCAACTTCTGTTGCATTTCCGAAACATGGAAAATTTACCAACAGTGTGCGTAAATTTTCTAAAAAATTTAACTGGCTATTTTTGAAGCACTGCTGTTGTTGCTCAAGTAGAAGCTGTAATTGATCGGAAAAGGTAGTCATTTTTTTTTCTTTTCTGCACCAGCAATGAAAATTAACTGTAGGAATAATGACCAATGTCGCTCAAGGACGCTGATGACAATCTGGATGCTGATTGGTCAAAATAATTAAGCTGAATCTCGTCCAATTAGAGGGTTCAAAATTTTCTCATCCCCGTCGCCAATTGTTATGACGGGTGTGACTGCAGGTTTTGATAAGTAGCGTTTATTGATCGATTCGGTGACACGTTAACACGAACGAACGGCCTACAGTTCTGATTGGTCCTGCTTCCCTGTCTAGCCCAGTTAGTTGAGTCCAGAAGACAAGCCACAGCCTCGGAGATATGAATCATTATATTTCAAACATACTTTGTTTATATACCAATCAAGCACACCACATCGTACCATAAAATAGAAAACAACATTTTGTACAATATTTAACAAGTGAACAGATATCGACCAATAGGCAATGTCCATTTAAAGTCCAAGGACACCATTGGACTTAACATGATAATTATTGGTCTATTCCTCTGCATCCACAACACATATCTCTTTTTATCAGATATTAATCACCATACACATACTAGTAACTGGTTTCAAGACGTATATCCTGGAGTTTTAGTGAGAAGCAATGACCAGTGGAGTTCAACCGGGTCTGTTGTGAGATAGTAACTCACTGAAGACAATGGTGGATGAGTCACTCAATCTCATGGATTAGTTGAAGTTAGACATTAACACCGTTGGATGCCAGTTAGCTCAGTGGTCTAGAGATTAAGCACTCGTGCTCGAGACCAATAGGTACTGGGTTTGAATCTCGCGAGGCGGGATCGTAAATGTTCACTACTGAGGAGTTCCACAATAGGAAGAAACAGCCGTTCAGTGCTCCCAGGTTTTTCATGGTGCTCTACCTTCAACTGACTAATGGTTTCAACTATTTTTGATAGTTTCAGTCACTTAATACTGTACTATCGTAAATTTGTACATTTAACAAAATCTGATTATTATCAGAAGGGGTTGTGTGAAGATTTAAGAAATTTCACAGGTTGAAATCATGAGTCAATTGAAGCCAGATCACCATGGAAAACCTGGAAACACTATACGGCCGTTTCGTCCTAGTATAGGAGTCCTCAGCAGTGCGAATCCACGATCCCGTCCCCCGCGAGACTCGAACCCAGGACTTATCAGTCTCACTCCAGGCGCTTAACCAACTAGACCACTGAGCCGGCATCCAACGGTGTTAATGTCTAAATTCAACCGATCCACGAAGGTGCGCCACCAAACACAACATAGAAATTAGATAACATTTAATTATACAACCCAAATAAATAAATAATATAGTGTTAAATCATGATCACATATCAACGATAACCGGATATCTACGCCATAAGTGTAAAGAACTGATTAATAAATTTTTATTTAGATTAAAATTAAATTATGAAAGGTACTATATATAGCAATAGTTTATGCATCACACTCAGTGGAATACAAAAGTACAATCATTTAATTTAATAATAAAATTAACTCACTAATAGTTTTGGGTGTAATTTTGAATTATTGTCTGTGAGGACGACCCACAGGTGAACCCGAGGAAGCTCTAAGAAGTTCAGAAAGAGCTGAAGATATTCCATCCAATCATCTTTTGGAAGAATATTCCACAATCCACAGGTGTAGCTTCTCTATTGGACCAATGCTAGTAATCTCCTGTATGCTGATTGGAGAACTATAATAATAATAATTTCGTTTATACTAAAAAACTATAAATATCTGACAGTTTTGTACCATAATTGATACTGTTTTGGAACTGCATTCTTTTCACTTGTCTTCTGTCTTCTTATTTGCGACTTAGAAGGGTTCTAGCATTTGAGTGCCCAAGTTGTACGCAGTATATTAAGAATCTAAGCTGTAGATATAACATGGTCGATAGTGAAGTTGCAAAGCATGAGCAGCATATCGATAACTGAGGAACATCTCGAACTCAAAACCACTATCTGTCAACCAACACCAAAGTCAGGATTTTCAATACAAATGTCAAGACAGTTCTACTGTATGGGGCGGAAACCTGTGGAACTACGAAAACCATCATCCAGAAAATATAAGTGTTTATTAACAGTTGTCTACGTAAAATACTTCGGATCCGTTGGCCAGACATTATCAGCAACAACCCACTGTGACAGAGAACAAACCAGATTGAAGTGGAGGAAGAAATCAGGAAAAAGCGCTGGAAGTGGATAGGACACACATTGAGGAAAGCACCCAACTGCGTCATTAACGCAAGCTCTCACATGGAATCTTCAAGGTCAAAGGAAAAGAGGAAGACCAAAGAATACATTACGCCGAGAAATGGACACAGACATGAGAAGAATGAACAGCAATTGTATAGAACTAGAAAGGAAGGCCCATGACAGAGTGGGTTGGGGAATGCTGGTCGGTGACCTATGCTCCATTAGGAATAACAAGTGTAAGTAAGTAAGTGAGTGGAATTGCTGATGCACATATTTCATCCTACTTGAGACTCTTCAGTTAGTTTTACCTCCATACTACTGTTGATGTTTTCAGTGAAATTTGATTTCAACAAATATCTCATAAGAAATCAACATGTAATCCACTAATTATTCAACAATCATGATGTTTCTACAAAACGTATTATCACATTATGATAAAGTATTTTTCTTTAAAAAAAAAACTTAGTCCATTTCATTATGATCACTATGAATAACAATGTTTATTATTATTATTATTATTGTTTGTAATTTGTAGAGAATCAACCATCTTCTTTAGCTTATCCACATCCATCTCATACACATGGTTTACCATTATCTAATAATAAATGTCAACAAATGAATACAAATTATTCAATGAATTCTAATAATCCTAATAATAATGATGAAATGGAATTTGATGAAGATGGTATTGTACGTCATTTAAATACTTCACAACGTATTAAATTAACAGAAGATTTATCTATTGTTGAAACAAATATTAATGTATTAAATGATTTATTAGCTGAATTAAGACCAGATACTATAACGATAGATGATTTGAATTTACTCAAAGTAAGTATGTAAAGATTTCATAAGATTTTCATCAATTTCATATGTTAAAGATAAACTTTTGTTTTGGATCAGATTTATTTATTTGAACACATAGATATTGGTACAAGGAGGCACCAAATACATATGCGCCACACAAATCTCATTTGATATGTGTGAAGGCTGTGATACTGCTCGGGTGCCTAAACCGAACCACGTGGTTTTCTTAGGAGGCCACTCTCCGAGCATTCGACCTGAAGGTCTGATCCACAAGCCAGTGGAGCATCGTAAGGAGATGCAGTCCTATGGTAGCCGGTGACCAACATTAGGTTCATAGGCCATTTGTTCCCGCAGGATACTGGGGCCCATGTACACCATTGGTTTGAAATGAAGGTTTTCCCACTCCCCCAGGTGGATCTTTCGTGTCCACCAACTAGACTAAAGCGCCAGACATTCAGTTTTCGTCCTCTCAATTTCGTAAACAACACTCTTGATGCTAGAAGACAGTGAGTAGGACTTCCGTGGCAGAGGCTATATGCGTGTGGCCATGTGAGAGCATTTGGAGGGGGAGAACGGACTCTCCCCACTCTCGGCCTTACTAGGGCATTTGGGGGTTGCAAGTATACTTGTTCTTGAATGATAGGTTACATGAACCAAACGAATTGAATACTTTTTGAGTGGATCTTAAAGCATTATTCAGTTAAAAATTTTAAGAGAGGAATGTTAAATAAATAGTAGTTCAATATAAAAGTATCAAATCAAATCTGGGCACTCTGTTTCAAAGAAATTTTACTTAAAAATATTATAGTTAGTTATACAATATACCCTTGTAGGTCAGCGTAATTTTATATTGGTTTTCAGGAGAACTAGACACCGTCCAGACATTCACGTGACAACCCAATCCCGTTTAGCAGGAAAGCTAGACACCGCCCAGTCTTAAATTTTATATTTCGAGCAGTACAGCTCAAATCCCGCTTCACAGAATAACCAGACACCGTATAGGTTTTAACGCCATAATCTAAATAGTGCAGCTCAATCCTGTGGTGCAACCACACATGTGCCAAGCACCCTGGTGGGCCATTCATATGCACATTCACGTCACATGTATAATAATTATCCCGATCGATGATCTCGTGAATCAACTATGCACAGTACGAACAGGACAAATTTGACCTATTCTGCCTACACGACAGTCTATATCATTAATGTTAGCAATAGTGACATGCCTTACAATGTCCCAATCACAATAGCCCTTAAGATCACTGGAAAGCAATCACCAGTGTGAATGAAATTAGTTAACCAGCAGACCAATTTTGTGCATGAATAATCAGCAAAACTTGCCAAAGCAATGCCGAACCATCCACAATATCAATGGCAAACCTTCAGTTTCATATGAGGCCTTCATCTCTACATAGCCATATAGCTGATTATTGCATACAACACAGATGTAGGGTAGTAAACGAAATAGCCCAGCCTAAATCGTTAGGGCTTAAATAACACTTAAAAGCCATTGTCTGGTGTCGGAATACAATTACTAGACCATGAAGATCATTTTTATCGCATTTGCAAAATTTTCATTTTTACAACTTTTCAGACCCTAAGTTAGGGGTAGTATAATTAAAAGATTGTGATCATAGGGTGGTCAAATCAAAAACTTATGCACTGTTAAGATATTGGTGTGGTGTGTGCTATTGATATCGACAGATATAGGTAGTATGTATCATCAATCGAGAGTGAAATGCCTAGAGGCAGAAGGTTAAGAAGATCAAAGAAAAGAGAATGATTGGTGTGAAAACGAAAGAACAATGAAGTCTGAGACGATTGATTGACATTTTGTAAATAAAGTATTCATTGTATGGTTCTCAGATTTCATTAAGATGTTCTGTAATTTTATGCTGAAATGAATTCGATTGTTAAAATCATTAAGCTATTGGTACAAGATGTTGTTTAGTGTAATAATAAGTTGAAGAAAATGTGACAGTGACCAAACAATAATGTGGGATCATTCTCGGAAGTTGTTGACTGTTAATTTGATCCCTGTTAATAAGTCTATAAGATATGATCAGTAGTGGGAAGACGACTCAAAGTTAATCCCAATCAAGCAGATCCATTCACTATTTTCTAATTGTGCTGTTTTAGCTTAATCATTCTTTTTACTACCGCTGATACTGTTACTATTTCTATGATTTTTTGGGTTTATCGTGGTCATGTCATCTGTTTTTGCTGAAGTGGTGTGACAAGTTGAACTGATGGTTATATGTACCAGATTTTGCGTTGTTTATAACTGAGTGACTGGCTGTAAAATGTAGTAATATGCACCTACCTCTTCTTAGTTTTCAGCTAGTCAAAGTATAATAATATGTTTTAAGGGAGCTACATTAATTGAACAGTGTGATGATTACACAACAGAAACTCACGGATAGTCACTACTATGTATATCTATCAAATAAGTACCTCCAACAGTCTATAGGGGTTGTATTTGATGAATACAACATAATAAATAACTAGTCACATTGAGTTTGAATGTTTAATATAAATGGATTTTATTTGAAGAAGATCAGACTGAGTTAAGCTAAGATGGTGGTTGGAGGTAGTCGACAGGAAACCCTGGACCCGGGTTTCGTGCTACTTGGCACTCGTCAGCAAGGTGTACCTGTAATCTTGACGGAACTGGTGCCCCCTGGCGGGTTCGATCCCGTGTCACCCAGCTTCACAGTCAGAGACCTTCTGTAGGGCTGAGATGTAATCACAATTGATTGATCACTAAGCTAAAGTTTTACAAAATAATGCAGTTTCATGACTAATAGGTATTATCATAATTAGTTTACGAAGATTTTCGATATTCTCAACAGTGACTAGTTTTAATATGAACACTTGGAAATTTTGGTGATCACTGGTGCTCAACCATTTCGAAAATGAAACAGGGAACATTAGCGATAGGATCGAATAAAGGTCACACTATATTGTTAATTAATTACATTTGTAAATAGTGATCATTAGACACATCCAAATTTATTTCACTGGATTATACTCCTTGAATAGGATCTTTAAACGTTATTCTTTCCGATTATTGCTTATACTTTTACTACCTCTACCACTATGGGATTTGAATTGACATTTGTATTTGTGTGTAGTGTAGTATGGCAACTTGAACTGATATACGTACATACGGAGTTCTACGTTGTTACTGATTGACTGACTTATACAATGAACTAAAGATATTGTATTTTGCGTAGACTACTATTTATAAATAGTTGTACCTTTTTGATGATGGTTGTAGTAGTTCTCCAAGTTTCAGCTCCGTTCAGTGGAACTGACTTGACGTTCGTATTGACAATTCATACTTTGGTGTTGGTTGACGGTTGTTCTGGGTTCTATATTTTCTTCAGTTTTAGGAATGCTGCCTTTGCTTTGTCAGTCCTCACATTCACATCTGCATTTGATCCTCCTTGTTCATGGATGATGCTTCCTAGATATGTGAACGTTTCCACGTTTTCCAGAGTTTCTCCATCATCAGCACAAACTTTAGGTAGAAGTGAAATGTTTGAATTTCTCCACATTTGGTTCACAGGTTATCCTGTAGACCTCGATATTATAGAGAAATGATGTGGAGAAATTCGAACACTTCATTTCTACCTGACGTTTGTACTGATAATGTCGTTTAGAAGAATTATGAAAGCTCCACGATCAAACCATTCAGCTCAGAGAATGAAATTCCATCAAAATCATCTATCTAAGCTACAAATCTTCTCCATCATCTCAAGATATATATTGAATTATCTAAGAATGATTATTTCAAAACTGATTTGATTTATACTTCTAGTCGAATAAAGATCTGATATTATTTTCTATTAAATTATTGACTTAGAATTAATTCTGTTGACCTAGAAATGGATATTAATATTTGTAATTGACTACAGCATAAGTAGTTGTCCGTTATCCTTAAGTATATCTTTCATTATGGATAAATAATGAAGATTGAAGATTTGTTCAAGAATAAAGGACTAATGATAGTTTTCTTCTTATAACTCCTCTATTCATTGTATTTCACATTTCATTGGTTTTTCCATTATTGAACTATCTATTCAAACTTAATTCGATATGAATGTGTGTATATGAGGTAGGTGGTTAAGCGTGATAGTTTGAACCCCAATGACATGACCTTAGATGAACTGCAAAACAAATAAAATAATAATAAAAGATTTTAAATTCACTTGGTATTGTTTTACTTGAATTTTCCCATTGATGATTAGGACTGTAATTGATCAGTCTATTTCTTATTGACATATGTGCGTACTGTGCATATTGCCTCGATGTTGCCTTACTGCACAAGCATTATAAGTAAAGATGGATATTGGCTAATAGTGGAATTCAGGACTCACGTTTTGTCCTACTTGGGACTCATCAGCTGGATGTACTTGCATCTCCAAGTTGGTGTTCACTCCGGGACTCGAATCCAGTACCGTTCACTTCAAATGCCATCGTGTTATCTATTTAGGTGCCGAATTCCAGAATGAACATCGACTCTGAGATGCAGGTACATCTGACTGACGAGTCAGGAGTAGGACGAAACGTGCGTCCTGGATTCCACTGCTATCCACTATCCATCTTTGCTTATAATGCTTGTACGGTAAGGTAATATCGAGGCGATCCGCACAGTATGCATATATGTCAATAAGAGATAGACTGATCAATTGCGGTGCTAAAAATCAATGGGAAGATTCAAGTAAAACAATACCAAGTGAATTAAATTTCACCCGATTGCAAAAGCAAACGGCTATCTGGACTCAGTAGGTAAGTGGATAACGTGATGGCGTTTTAAGTGAACAGTACTGGGTTCGAGTCCTAGGAAAGATTTGGATTAATTGGAAAGCAAAATTTTTCTATTCACTTTTGTATTGGTTGTTTGAATCTTCCCATTGATGTTTAAAACTTCAACGAATCATTCTCGTATTGACATATGGGTATCGTGTGCGAATTGTCTCGATATTGCTTTATTCAGTAGCTAAGTAGATAACGCGATAGCGTTTAGAAGTGTCCCACAATAGAACGAAACGGCCGTCCAGTGCTTCCAAGTTTTCCATGATGGTCTAGCTTCAATCGACTCATAATCTCAACCATTGGAATTACTATAATATCCACGAAAACCCTTCTGATATAAATAATAATAGTATTCTGTAAATCAGTTCCAAGAGTTATACTGTCTTCAATATTCTGCCGGCCATGTCATTATCATTATATATAAAGATTACTAATGACTAGAATTTTTCTTACATTTATGTATAGGTAGTGATTTTTGATAATTGGAAGTAGTTTGCGGAAAACCCTCCGCCTGTTTCGAATTATCTGACATCTTAATGTAGGGTACATGATATTGAGTAATTTATAACAAAGGTCAATATATTATAACCTGATTTATAGGATTCAGTCAGGATTAAAGGACTAAATAAACACGTCATTAGCTGCTACTCAGTGATTAACCAATTGCAAATATATCTTAGCCCTACAGAAAGTTAGTCTCTGCCCAGATAGATCGGCAATAAAATCTCTGATTGTGAAGCTGGGTAACACGAGGTCAAGTCCTCCAAGGCTTATCAGTTTCCTTGAGTTTAGAAACACACCTTGGTGGTGAGTGTCGAATAGCACGAAACTTAGATCTTGATTTTGCAGTTGACTAACTCCAACGGCTATCTTACACGTTAACGTACTACACTCAATATCGAGTCACTTGGACTAGTAACCATATTGCAACTTAATCGATAGAATTCAATAAGCACTAAAGGATTAGATAGAAGTGAAATTAGTCACTACTTAATAGTCGACTAACTGTCTCATTAATGATTGAATATTGATCGTTAAGGTAAATTGTGTTCATTTATGATCTATGAATGAGTGGAAGGTATTTAGGATTTTATAATTAGTAGTTCTATGAATATCATTTCAAGTGATATAAATCACTTTAGAATATGACTTTCAATTGAAGACTATATTTTATATTTAGAAACTAACTTGTTCTGTGTAAAGCACTCGAATACTAGAACCCTTCTAAGTCGCAAATAAGAAGACAGAAGACAAGTGAAAAGAATGCTATTCCAAAACAGTGTCAATTATGGTACAAAACTGTCAGATATTTATAGTTTTTTAGTATAAACGAAATGATTATTATAGTCCTCCAATCAGCATACAGGAGGTTATTATCATTGATCCAATAGAGAAGCTACACCTGTGGATTGTGGAATATTCTTCCAAAAGATGATTGGATGGAATATCTTCAGCTCTTTCTGAACTTTTTAGAGCTTCCTCGGGTTCACCTGTGGGTCGTCCTCACAGTATAGAATAATTGTAAAGGTGTCTTGCTAGGTTCTTACTTTTTTACAGTTTCACTCCCTCCATGTCTGAAATGTATAAAGATGCATTTGATTATATTGACAAACTTTAACTATGTGAAAACATTAGAATTCTCTTGAAATTTTATTTATTTATTAAAACACATAAACATTGGTACAAGGAGGCATCAATCACATATGCGTCACATAAATCATTCGATTTGTGTGAGGGCTGGGATGCTGCTCGGGTACCCAGACCGAATCAGGTGGTTTTCCTAGGGGGCCACACCCGGAGCCTCTGACCTAAAGGTCTAACCCACAAGGCATTGAAGCAACGTTAGGAGATGCAGTCCCATGGTATCTGGTGATCAACGATAGGTTCATACTCCATTTGTTCCTTCAGGATCTTGGAGTTCATGCACACCATTGGTTTGGAATGAAGGTTTTCCCACTCCCCCAGGTGGATTTTCCGTGTCCACCAACTAGACTAAAGCTCCAGATATTCAGTTTTCGTCCTCTCCATTTCGTAAACAACACCCTTGATGCGAGAAGACAGTGAGTAGAACCTTCGTGGCAGAGGCTATATACGCGTGGCCATGTGAGAACATTTCAAGAAGGAGATCTGACTATTCCTACTCTCTGCCGTATCAAAGAATTTGGGGCGCATCATTGTCTATGGAAAGAGGATCATTGAATTATCAATATTACTTCAATGATCATTCATACAAAGAATGTAGAACTAATCAATCTAAAACGGTATCTTCTGAATATTTTACAATGTATTATTGTCATTTTAGTAAGTATTCAATTATATCACCATTCCATTATTACTTTTTATTATTATTATTATTATAGGAATTAAATTGTACATGTCGTATTATGCATCAACGTGTTATGGAATTTTTAAGTCAAGTATCCGATGAAGAAGTAATTAATAATTTAATTCAAGTTAATGATCATTTAACAAATACACTTTTACGGTTAGTTTATATATATATAAATATAATTATTACGTAACTTATTCATTCATTGAGTATTATGTTATTAGTGTTGAGCCCCTTTTTCTGGTAAGCATTTTTTTGTTTAGCGAGTTAGTTTTCTACGGGATGGGGCCCGTTAACCCCCATGCCCAACCCTCCTCCATTATCCGGGCTTGAGACCGGCAGTAACACCAGAGTGGGTCGAGTTAAGATTGTTTACTCTCACCCTTTCTCTTATTATATAAATATTACGCAACATCTTCATCGACTGAGATGGTTGGGCCACGTGTTACGTATGACTGAACACCGATTATCACGATGCATATATGTGCCTGGTCCTACGTTGTAGCTGACTGACTGACTACGCAACATATCCACTCGATGAGTATTATTTCATTATTTCGAATAATATATATATATATATATATATATATATATATATATATATATATATATATATATTAGTGTTGAGCCAGAAGAACCCTTCCACTATGTGGGCACTTAAGACTGAATTGAATATAATTTTTTTCGCTCGATTAGTTTATATTTATCGTATGTTTAATTTTACTAAATATTTTCATATTAGTATTATATACATTATAGTGTGTTATATTGAATGAATAAGAACGCTGTTGTATGATATATACATTTATCTATTAATTCACTCATACTGATAATAGGACCGATAACATTCTATGTATCAGTCCCCTCCCCAAATGATCTGGTACGGCTGAAGGTGAGGAGAGTTAGCAATTCCTCTCGAAATGCTCTTACATGGTTACGTGTATACAGCCACTACTAGTGAAATCCTACTCACTGTCTTATCGTATTGTTTACGAAATTATGAGGACGAAAAGCGAATGTCCGGTGCTTTAATGGGGGTTGGTGGATGTGGAGGATCCACCTAGGGAAGCTGGAAAACCTTCATTTCAAACCAATGGTACACATGGGCTCCAGGATTCTGAAGGAACAAATGGAGTATGAACCAATCGTTTGTTACCAGCTGCCATGGGACTGCATCTCCTGATTTTGCTCCACTGCCTTGTGGATTAGACCTTTGGGTCAAAGGCTCCGGGTGTGGCTTCCTAGGAAAACCACGTGGTTCGGTCTGGACACCCGGTCAGTATCACAGCCCTCACACAAACCAAGTGAGTTGTGTGGCGCATATGTATTCGGTGCACCTTTGTACCAATATTTGTGTGTTCAAATAAATAAAATACATAATAATAAATTCTATGTATCACCTGACATATCGACCAATGAATCACACTCAGGAAATAGACCCTTCTTTATCCTGGAGTTCTTTCTAACCCATTGGTCAGTCAGGCGAAAAAAAGTAGAAAGCAGATCAGTTCTTCATCATGCTCAATTCAATTATGACTCAAGACTCTAACAACAAAATACTTGAAATATCTGGTCACATAACAACACGTTTAGACAACTATAGTCAGTACATAACTTAGTCATATGTGATACAAAACCGAATTAATAGGGAGATTAATTATTAGTCAGTGTAAGGTTGTGAAGATTGTTAGATTTCATTGAGTTCATGAACTAATAAGAACCTGGAAGCACTGGATTCTCGTTTCACCCTAATATGAGACTCTTCAACAGTGCGCATTAATCAATAACAAAACTCGAATAATAATAATAAATATGACAAAGATTTTTGAGTCAAAAGAAAGTTTAGAAATAGGAGAATATAAAGCAAAACAGTCCAAGCATTCTTCATATATCGGTTTCCACAACAAATACCCTCCCCCTATTTATATCACTTTGTTGATAGATTTCAACCAACTTTAAGTGAATAGACAAACTATGAAATCGATTGCTTCTAAATTATCAGTCAATGTGGGAATATCCTATATCCTATTAAACCGGATCATTTGTGACTTGAATAGTCTAGTCTAGTAATTTCTTCCATGATGAAACATCTGGATGACTTAGTTAGTCATTTATATCAGGTAGTATCAGTTCTCTCAATGTTCTACGTAAATGTCTATGACTTCGAACAAGCACCAAATCTTACTTCATAATCTCTTGTCGACTATTTCGAACCACCGAACATTAAATGATCCAAGAGAATTTGTCAAATAGATAATATAAAACTTGACATGAATATATGTATTCATTGAAGTCATTGCACCTTACATTCATATTGGTTAAGAGAGAATTGAAAAAAGAATTCGGACATGAAATGTCATGTTTTAAAAAAATATAATATGAAATCAAATAACGGAAAGATAGTTGCGCAACATCATGAATTGACTATAGTTAGCAATATAGATCATTGGATGCTAACTCATATGTCTACATGGCTTAGTGTTCATCATGGGTTTTGAAGGCTCATGGGTACAATAACCATTAGGATCATGGATACTCATTCTAAAATATCAGAAACGTTTTTTTCAAACACTTTTTTCTCTGTGTGTAAACGGAGATAAATCCTTTGTTGTATTTAATCTTGATGATAAATAAGATCTGATTCAATTGTCGTTTCGGTGAGAGGGGGGGATTACAAAGTTTCTTGGAAATTGTTAAACTTTCCTAGTTAACATTACAGAATAATCTTAGTTACACACAAATCTTAAAGGCCAGGAAGCAGTGAGTAGCTGTTTCATCTAATTATAAGACTTCAGAAGTACATATGCACCAGAGATTGAATCTAGGATTTTTAGTCTTCAATACAAATGCCCAGTCTCTAGATAATTGAAAATACACTTGGTGTTGCTTTACTTGTATCTTCCGATTGTTGTTTAGGACTGTAATTGATCAGTCTCTTGTTGGTATATGTGCATACTGTGTGGATTGCCTCGATATTGCCTTAGGTCACTAGCTTTATAAGCAAAGATGAACAGTGGTTAGCAGTGGAATCCAGTTTGACGCGCGTATCGTCTTATTTGAGACTCATCATCTGAATGTACCCGCATCCCAGAGTTGATGTTCACTCCAATACTCGAACCCAGTACTGTTCGTTTCAAACGTCATCGTGTTATCCACTCAGCTATTGAGTCCTGATAGTCACCTGCATATGCAATGTGGTGAAGTTTAATTCACTTGGTATTGTTTGCTTGTATCTTGCGATTGTTGTTTAGGACTGTAATTGATCAGTCTCTTATTGGCATATGTGCATCCTGTGCGTATTGCCTCGATATTGCCTTACTGCAAAAGCTTTATAATCAAAGATGGATAGTGACTAGTAGTGGAATCCAGAACGCTCGTTTCTTCTTATTTTAGACTCATCATCTGGATGTACCTTCATCCCAGAGTTGATGTTCACTTCAAGATAATGCGATGGTGTTTGAATTGAACAGTACTGATGTTCGAGTTCCATAATGAACTCTGTGATGCAGGTACATCCAACTGACGAAACATACATTCTAGATTCCATTACTACCCATTATCCATCTTTACTTGATCATTGAAAATATTTCACATGATATGATAAATTGATTTAAATTGTATATTTGTTTTCATTGAAATTTTTATATTTTCACTTCCTGTTTTGTTTATATGAAGATTTAAATGTTAATAAGTTAAAACATGGAATAGTGTCATATAACTTAATTGTTTATAATACGATAGATTTTGAATCAACTTTTAATAAACACTACAGTTAAAAAAGGTTTGTAGTGAATGAAGACTCAAGTGGGGAGAACTACTTTATTGTTTTAATATACATTTACATAGTAAAATTTCGAAATCATACATCACAAATCGTAAATCTTCTTTGAATCGTCTTTTACAAGCTTCATTATCCCTTCATCCCTGTAGTTATCTTGATTACTTTCAGTTTCTTTCTCTCTTCTCTTCATTTCAATCTTTTTTAAACTTTCTGATCGCAGACATTCTACATCCGACTGATGTTATATACTACTTGTATCTGCATACATAAGTAGACTACATCATAGGTATACGTTACTTTCAATGAAAAAGTATAGTAGTATTCCGTTCCCCACTGGATTCTGCTATATGACATATCTGCCCCCAAATACCCTGTTACGGCCAAGAATGGGGAGTGTCAGCTCTCCCTCTCAAATGCTCTCACGTATACCACGTGCATACAAACACTGCCAGGGAAGTCCGGCGCTTTAACCAGGTTGGTGGACACGGAGAGTCCAGTCAGTCAGTCAGTAACAACGTAAAACTTCGTACGTACGTACATCGGTTCGAGTTGCCACACCACATTAGCACAGAGATGCACTTGTCGATTCAAATCCCGTAGTGGTAGAGGCAATAAGAGTATAAGCAGTAATCGGGAAGATTAGGGTTTGGAGATGTTATTTAAAGAGTATAATACAGTGAAATAAACTTGGAAAGAGGAAAAAAAGGGACATGAAGAATTCAGAAGATTAGAATTTGGGAGAACACAGAGAGTGGATGCACCTGCGCCATTGCAAACGATTTTGAGCCATGTCATTCAGGGTCTCTAACCATCGATTGCTATCATCTCGTGGATCCCAACCAAGTAGTCTACACCTACCAACATGACTCAGACCACTTGTCAGTGACTTCATGGACTTGTGCCATGTTTTGGTTTGGCCGCCCCTAGCTTTCTTCCAACCTACTCCTATACCACTGAACATAGCACGTCGAGGCAGTCGGTGTTTGGGCATACGTAACACGTGTCCCAGCCATCTCAACTGATGAAGTTTCACTACTTCATCAATTGATTTGCCATCCTTACCTAGTACGCGTCCCCTAACAACTGCATTACTTACTCGATGGTCCCAGGATATACGAGCAATGTTTCGAAGACACCTATGATCAAATACTAGTAGCCTATGAATGCCCTCTACTCTTACCGGCCATGTTTCACTGCCATAAAATAGGACGGAACGAACTCCTGCGCAGTAAACACGTCCTTTGGTTGATAGACGGATATCTCGCCTACGCCATAAATGACGCAAGTTGGCAAAAGCTAGTCGAGCCTTCTGTATCCGTGCTGAGATTTCGTCACACACCAGACCACAAGGGCTGATGAGACTTCCAAGATAAGT